CTAGATGTAATTCACATCTGTGGAGCCAGCCACTTAATACAGGTTGATGCGTCTGGTCACCTCACCAAAAAACCTGCACTCCATCAGTACTTACCCGTATCACTGTGCTCGTCCATAATGAGCAAACTACACCTTCCTTTTCCCAGCTGAGCAATCTACATGAACGCAAAACACAACTGCCAAGTCCTGATTTCTTTTCTGTCCTCTCCAGCTGGCTTCCTTTTGGGAGAATAATGTTTAGGATACGGCCAATCCACACCGTCAGATCAGACGTGTGGGACGACGGGACAGCTGCCAGCGTTTCACGCCATGCGAGGCAGCGGTAATGGTTGCATCATTACTGCAGATGGTGTAAAAACACTGCTGTATCAAGAGGCATCGAACAGACACCAAGGGTCAGAATGCTGGTTCTGCCCTGCCTATCTCATTAGACAAGAAATTACGCTGAGACAAAGGCCCAAGGTCCGTTCACTGGGGAAAAGACGGCCTCTTTAACAACGGTGCTGGCATAACTGGATATCCATCTGCAAAAAAATGAAACAAGACCCATACCTCACACCAAGCACAAAAACTAACTCAAAATGGATCCAAGACTTAAATATAAAATCTAAAATGATAAAGATCATGGAAGAAAAAACAGGGACAACACTAGGAGCCCGAACACATGGCATAAACACAATATGAACCATAAGTAACAACACACAAGCACCAGAAGAGCGACTAGATACCCGGGAGCTCCTAAAAATCAAACACTTACGCTCATCAAAAGTCTTCACCAAGAGTCAAAAGACAACCTATAGACTGGGAAAAAAATTTTGGCTACGGCAAATCTGATCAGCGTCTAATCTCTAAAACCTACAAGATACTGCACAACCTCAACAACAAAAAGACAAATAACCCAATTAAAAAATGGGCAAAGGACATGAACAGGCACTTCGCCAAAGAAGACATTCAGGTCACTAACAGACACATGAGGAAATGCTCAGGATCATTAGCCATTAGAGAAATGCAGATCAAAACTACGATGAGATACCATCTCACCCCAACAAGGCTGGCGTTAACCCAAAAAACACAAAATAATAAATGCTGGAGAGGTGGTGGAGAGACTGGAACACTTATACACTGCTGGTGGGAATGTAAAATGGAAATCAATTTGGCACTTCCTTAAAAAGCTAGAAATAGAAGTACCATACGATCCAGCTGTCCCACTCCTTGGAATGTATCCTAGAGAAACAAGAGCCGTCACATGAATAGATATACGCACACCCATGTTCACTGCAGCACTGGTCACGACAGCAAAAAGATGGAAGCAACCTAGGTGCCCATCGATGGACGAATGGATAAACAGATTATAGTATACTCACACAATGGAATACTACGCAATGATAAAGAACAACAATGAATCCGTGAAACATCTTATAACATGGAGGAATCTGGAAGGCATTCTGTTGAGTGAATTTAGTCAGTTGCAAAAGGACAAATACTGTATAAGACCACTATTATGAGAACTCAGGAAGAGGTTTAAACACAGAAGAAAACATTCTTTGATGGTTACGAGGGTGGGGAGGGAGGGAGAGGGGTATTCACTAACTAGATGGTAGATAAGAATTATCTTAGGTGAAGGGAAGGATGGCACATATTACAGGGGAAGTCAGCACAACTGGACTAAACCAAAAACAAAGAAGTTTCCTGAACACAACCAAACACTTTGAGGGACAGAGTAGCAGGGGCAGGGGTGTGGGGACCATGGTTTCAGGGGACATCTAGGTCAATTGGCACAACAAAGTTTATTAAGAAAATGTTCTGTATCCTACTTTGGTGAGTGGCGTCTGGGGTCTTAAAAGCTTGCAAGCGGCCATCTAAGATGCATCAATTGGTCCCAACCCACCTGGAGTAAAGGAGAATAAAGAACACCAAGGACACAAGGAAAATATTAGCCCAAGAGACAGAAAGGGCCACATAAACCAGAGGGTCCATCAGCCTGAGACCAGAAGAACTAGATGGTGCCTGGCTACCACCAATGACTGCCCTGCAGGGAACACACAGACAGTCCCTGATGGAGCAGGAGAAAAGTAGGCGGCAGAACTCAAATTCTAGTAAAAAGACCAGACTAAATGGTCTGACTGAGACTGGAGGAACCCCAGAAGACATCGCCTCCGAACTCTGTTAACCCAGAACTAAAACCATTCCCAAAGCCAACTCTTCAGACAAAGATTAGACTGGACTATAAGACATAAAATGATACTCGTGAAGACTGTGCTTCTTAGCTCAAGTAGATACATGACACTAAATGGACAGCTTCTGTCCAGAGGTGAGATGAGAAGGCAGAAAGGGACAGGAGCTGGTTGAATGGACACAGGAAATCTGGGGTAGAAAGGAGGAGGAGTGTGCTGTCACAGTATAGGGAGAGCACCTAGGGTCACATAGCAATATGTGTATAAATTTTTGTATGAGAAACTGACTTGAATTGTAAACTTTCACTTAAAGTACAATAAAATTAAATTAAAAAAAAAAGAAATTATGTTGATAGTGAAAACATGCGTTAAAGTCAGAAAAAAGTTACTTCAACAAAGAAAAGTGGGCAGGAGATACTCGAGACTAAATCTGCCTCTGTTGTTTCAATCAAACTATAAATTTTCTGATTCTTCAATTTACCTGCTTCTGTTTGGGTTTCCCTAGGTCTCAGAGGAATATACCAGAAGTAACCACCACAAGGCAGCGTAACAGTCACTCAGTGCTCCGAATGGGCATTCAACAACAAAACAACATAGCTATACCGGCTTGTGATTTTTTTACTCATCGTATTAACTCAAATTTAAAGTTAATCATGGAAAACCAAAATAAAAACTAAAAAGACAAAGAAATATTCTTATTTAAAAATAAGTATATTTGTAAAAAGGTCTAGTGAAAAAAAGGGCTAAAATCTGCCTTTCTATACTCATACCCCGATAGTTCAAGAGAAAAGGGAGGGCAACTCAGACCACTTCAGCAACGGCAACAGCAATTTAATCCTAAAATAATTTAATCTGTAAATCTCACAGGCATTTATCAAAAATCACTCACTAGAGTATCATTTTCTAAATATGTGAACCTTGCTTTGGAGAGTCCAATTTCTAAAACAAGGAACCTTGAGATTACGGCGGAAATCGGGACCGCTGGCTGGGTTGAAGACATAGCTGCATAGTTAGCAGTTTACACTCCCAGAGACTCTGAGGACGCACAGGAAGCTTGCAAGTGTGCTGTGTTCTTTTTGCTTGAAATACTGACAAGTCACGCTGAGAGTGACAGGGAGCCTGCTGTTGTGCTTATTCTAGAGACGGAGACCTTACAACTGTACTTCCAATACTTAGGTATCACACATGATCATATACACAAACACAGACCAAATACACAGCGCACCTACTCCTCACTCATGGTTAGGTTCCAAAGACCAGGTCGTTAGCACTGTTACGTGAAATACTTGCAATTTCCTGCCCCAGCATCCCCTCCTCCCCGGCCTCAGCCCTCCCAGCTGGGCAGCCGTGGCCCCACTATTACCTGGGGCGGTCCCAGGCTCACCCTTGCACTGCTCACCGGAATCCAAATTCATGCTGACGGGCATCCTCAGCCACCCAGTGTCCCCACTTGGGCTCCAGGGTGCACTCAGTGCAGGAAGCGGGGTGGCACGGGCTGGGCGGTGGTGGTGGCCTTGGGCTCTGCCAGGGGTTGGCCCCACAGAGGTGAACACCGCCCACCCGCCCACGCCCCGCCCCTGGAGCCCACAGGCAGGTGCGCCCCACAGGTTCCAGACTGAGGTTAAATGCGCAGCTCAGCAAGGTCGTTCTTGCGCAAAATAGTCGGATGACAGATTTTTTACTATCGTCAGATACCGAGACAGTCGGGAAGCGAGGACCAGGTGCAGACACACACCACGTGAGCATGAAAGGGAAGGGAAGGAAAACACTATGGTGGCTCAAATCCTGCCCCCTCAGGGCACTCTTCTGGAGTCGGACAATTCAGAGAAGTTCCTCATATGTTATTCTGAAAGAACAGCACAAATACCTCAAACTCAGATGTCTAGATAGTTTGGCTTCGAATCTCAATTCAAAGGTTAATAAAAATCTCAAATGTGCTAACTTTTCTCCCTAATTTTCATAATAACAAATAGAATTTTTACTTTTTCCTAGTGTCAACAACTAAACTGGTCAGAATCAAGTATAAAGGGTATTAAGTTGGAAGAGGAAAACAAACATTTGAGGGAAAAAAGTATAACATTCAATTTCTTATAAGGACATAATGGATAAAAACTCCACTATCTACTTAAATCTAAAATGCAGGATTTGAGCTGTCTGCATTCTGGTTTTTACTGTAGGAATTAACATTCTTAAGATGATAAAGCTGTAAAGTTAAATCAAAAGTGAGGAATTGAAGGAGGCAGTGCTCTAACCACTTCTGCATTCCTGCACAGCTTGGCATTTTCCCGAGCTTTTCCATGGAAACATGACAAAGCCACACACCACTTCCGCCCCAAGACAAAAGCAATGACTGCACGGAACAAAACGCTTTGTAAATGCCAGGTAACACAACAAACATCTACATTCAAGCACAATCCTGAAGGTAAGAAGTGGCAGAAAAACTCTTAGTTTTAACAGTCTTCCAAGAACACGAGAAAGATGAAGCTTAATGGGCCTAGGTTCTGGAATTCACTTTGATGTGGTTGTAGACGGACAAAGGGACGGAAGAGTGTGAAAACGTAATTTAGATTAAAGACAGCTACCGTGTTGGGGCCACCCACTCAGCGCTGATTTATAGATGCCAAATTCATTTCTGTATTTTTTTTTAAAAGAGAAAAATGTAGTTTGGATTGCATACTGTTCATCTATAAATGTGAAGGCCTTCACAAAGGCTGACAAACCAGAATAATACACTTTTCTCCCTGGGATTAAATATCAACTTATCGTCTGGCCAGTTAGAAAAATTAAAGGGCAGGACATGCGCGTAGTAGGCACACAGGTGTTTACCTTCAGCTGATTGTTGAAAATATCAATCTCCTGCAGCTTCGCTCTTGTTTCTTTCTCAACCTCATCCAGCTGGTCTCGGAGCTGCTGCCGAGCTAGTTCTTTTGCTTCTAAGGCTCTTTTGACTGTAAGAAGTGAATCTCCTAGTTTAGAAAAACATGGCGAGATGTGAAAAACTTAGCATGGTAGTGAAGAAAAAAAGATTTTCAATGTTCTCCTTTCACCTTGAGAAATTCTTGACATTAAAAAGGAAAAGGACAACTTTAAAAATAAAACACCTACTGTGCAAACTGTTCTGCTGAACTTGCTTTAGTTGGTCATTGAGTATCTGTTTTTCCGGAATAAGCCTTCCAAGCATTTGCTGAGATTCCTGGGAGAGAAGAGAGAAAACAACCGTCAGTGACGTGAAAACGACCAAGTCCAGGTTCGCCATCCAGGCAGGGCACAGCCAGCTCTTCTCCCAATCTCAGCCCAAAGCCTCTCCACTGAAACGGTATTTAATCTCTCATCATGGTGATCCTGCCAAGGAATTCACTGTCTGCCAAATGCTTTTTACTGAAACACAGTTAAGACATTTATAGCTCCCTTGATATTCCTTATATTTTTGACTCAATGGCTATTCATAAGCTTTAAAAAATGTACTTTATGTAGTACAACTCAGCAGAGAGAAAACTGAAGTAAGGATCTCTGAATTGCACCCTGATCAAATGCAAATCCAGCAACCCTGTTTTCTGTAAACTGACTGAGCAGTTTAAATGAAAACTATTCTACTCCGAACTTGGATACTTAACAGGGTTGACTGAGGTTTACCGTATAAGAGAAGCTGGACCTTAGCTGTCATTTATGTTCTTCTACCACACAGAATGGAACTACAATTTTAAACAGGTACATGAAAGTCTTAAATCAACTATTTTTTAATTGACATTAAAAAAAAAAAAAGCTTAAGATCACATTGAACAGGGCTGTTGAGTAGTTTTCTTGAGCGATTTGCCAAGCACTGTATCTGTTGAGGAGCCCTAGCAGTGCAGTGGTTAAGAACTCAGCTGCTAACCAAAAGGTTGGCAGTTCAAATCCACCAGCTCCTCCTTGGAAACCTTATGTCCTATAGGCTCGCTATGAGATGGAATCGATTTGACGGCAGTGGGTTTTGTCTGATTTTTGGTTATTTGCTTAAGCTCAGCTGAAATTATCCTGTATCCTTTCTACACGTATGCAAAAAGAGGTTTCCTACTGTTTCTTTTACAACAATTTCTGTGGGCCATTTTATACTATAAACATCTACTTAGTTATGCTAGTTTAATTGCATTTGGCCTATAATCTGAGCGGTATATTACCATTATTTATTTCTAACTAGACATGCTATCAAAAGATAGGGCTGCAAATATACTTTGAAATGAATTATTTTCCAAGAGACGGCATCGTTCAAAGTGTAAAAGACAAAATTATGCTAAACTATCAAACATGTCACTTCTTTTGAACTGAAAAAGGTAATTAGGGAACTGCAACGCCAGCAGCCCTTCTTCACTCACATTGAAAACAGTCTACTCTCTGGACGACAGGAAAGATGGTGTTGCCAGGTGCCCAGGATTTCTGAAGATGGTGAGAAGGGAAATATCTTTACCCACAGCACACGGGGTGCTGGAGGAGTAACTGTTGAGTGAGTTAACATTCTCATGGCATCCATGGGGTAAGTGGGGTCATCCGCTCAGCAGCAATGAAAGTTAGCTGCTGTTACTTCACTGGAAGGCTAAATATTTCGTGTCACAAAGTTCAAATACTACCATCAACTAAAGATATATAGGAAACTGAATATAATCTGCATATGTCTCAAAGGACTGTACAGAATTGCTGTGAGTTTAGAAACTGAAACCATGAGTTCAGCAATGACAGCTGCACCATAAAGGGGCCGTGAAGCAGCCGTGTTTAGTGCGGGTCCACTATGGAGCTGTTGTTGTTAGAAACAGTCGAGTCGGTTCTGACTCATAGAGACCCTATGTACAACAGGGCGAAACACTGTCCGGTCCTGCGCCATCCTCATAACCGTTACGCTTGAGCCCACTGTTGTAGCCACCGTGTCAATCCATCTAGCTGAGGGTCTTCCTCTTTTTCACTGACCCTCTACTTTACCAAGCATGATGTCGTTCTCCAGGGACTGATCCCTCCTGATAACATGTCCGAAGTATGTGAGACAAAGTCTCCCCATCCTCACCTCTAAGGAGCATTCTGGCTGTACTTCTTCCAAGACAGATTTGCTCATTCTTTTGGCAGTCCATGGTATATTCAATATTCTTTGTCAACACCATAATTCAAAGGCATCAACTCTTCTTTGGTCCTCCTTATTCATCGTCCAGCTTTTGCATGCATATGAGGCTATTAAAAACACCATGGCTTGGGTCACACGCACTTAGTCTTCAAGGTGACATCTTAGCTTTTCAACACTTTAAAGAGGTCTTTTGCAGCAGATTTGCCCAATGCAATGTGTCTTTTGATTTCTTGACTGCTGCTTCCATGGGTGTTGACTGTGGATCCAAGTAAAACGAAATGCTTGACAACTTTAATCTTTTCTCTGTTTATCATGATGTTGCTTATTGGTACAGTTGTGAGGATTTTTATTTTATGTTGAGGTGTAAAGTATACTGAAGGCTGTGATCTTTGATCTTCATCAGTAAGTGCTTCAAGTTCTCTTCACTTTCCGTAAACAAGGTTGTGTCATCTGCACAAAGCAGGTTGTTAATGAGTCTCCCTCCAATCCTGATGCTCGTTCTTCTTCATATAGTCCAGCTTCTCAGATTATTTGCTCAGTGTACAGATTGAATAAATTAGCCCTGCATTAAATATCTGAGGTCTTAACATGAAATGCAGGGTCCTGGTGGTGCAGTGGTTAAGCGTTTGGCTGCTAACCAAGTGTCAGCAGTTCAAATCCACCAGCCGCTCCTTGGAAACCCTACGGGGCAGTTCTACCCTGTCCTACATGAATCGACTCGACGGCAATGGGTTTGGTAACGTGAAACGCAGAGCAGTACGTACGTGAATTTGATGACTCCTAGCTCAACATTCGATACCAAACCAGCCGGTAAGATAAGCTGGTGGTCAACTCTGGGTAGGTAATGAAATTCAGACAGAAGGGCCTAGAAAAGAATTTCAAATTCTCATGGACTCCAGACTTTCTGGAGCCAAGGGGGCTAGATGAACCCCTGAAACGATTTCCTTGGATGATCTTTAAAACTTAAACCATAAATATCTCTTGAAGTCTTCTTAAAACCAAATGATAGTTTAGCTTAATTAGAAAAAAATGCCTGCCTTGAGTATTATGCTCTTTGAAGAACTATCTAAATGAGATCAGAGTGACAACAGCAACTCAAAAGATTAGACAGAAACTTTAGGGGGGGAGTGAGATTATGTTAATGAGGGAGGAACAACTCAAAAAGGAGGGTGAGAATGGTTTATACAACTTGAAGAATGGAATCAATGTCACTGAATAGTATAGGGAGAAAAGGTTAAACTGATGTATGTTTTGCTGTGTATATTCTCAAAAACAAGAACAAAATAAAACTGAAAAAAAAAAAGTAACTGCCTATAATACAGGGTCGCTAAAAGAATCAACTCAATGGCAACAAGTATAGGAGCCCTGGTGGTGCAGTGGTTAAGCACTCAACTGCTAACTGAAAGGTGGGTGGTTCAAACCCACCAGCCACTCTGTGGGAGAAAGATGTGGCAGTCTGCTCCGCTAAAGATTACAGCCTTGGAAACCGTATGGGGCAGTTCTACCCTGGCCTATAGGGTTGCTATGAGTCAGAATCAACTCAACTTGATGGCAACGAGTTAGGGTTTTTTTTTGGTTCGTCTATAGTACTGCACTATGTCTCCAACTCTTCCCTGTACACCTCTCTCTCATACCCACTAAAATACTTCATCGCACTTATTTGTTTTAATCATCACACTAAAAGCCAGAGTCCTGTGAGTGGACTACAGGGTTCCAGGTGATCTGGCCCCACTCCTCCTTCCTGCTGTAACCACGCTGGCCTCCTTGCTGTAACCACAGGAACTCTGTCCTGCTGTTTCCCCACCTACAGCTGGTTCAGGTGACAGCCACGGGGTGGGTCCTTGTCTAGTTTGCATCCATACGTCACCCTTGCAGAGAGGCCTGTCCTGACCACCCTCAGCACACTCTAAGCCGTCCCCGCTCATGCTCCACAGCACGTCTCACCCTCTAGCAGAGTGGGTGCCTCCCTCATTTCCTCAGCGTCTGTCTCCCTCGCAGGCAGGGTGTGCACTCGGGGAGGCAGGTCCTCTCGTCTGTTGCTCTCTGCGGGGCCCTCGGGGCCCAGAAGAGCACCTGGTGAGCATCGGCGCTCAGCAAACATTTCGTGAGGTGGTTACCTGACGTCCCACTTTTCAGGCGAGGACCCTGTCCAACTCACCTTTGCTTTCTAGTGCCTAGAATATGGCAGATGCCCAATGTCTGCTGAATGAATCAGTCAATGGGTGAAACTAGAGGAGACCACGTAAGCCGAGAAGCTTTTAGGAGCATTATTTTCTCACCTGTAACTGCTGCTGCAGGTGTGTGATTTCTGCAATCCTCAGCTCCCTAGATTTGTTTGTGCTCTCGATTTCTTGCCTTTGGGTGGTCAACCGACATCTGATGTCCTGAAGTTTGCCTTCTAGTTGATGCTTTTTATCGTTCTTTAACATTAAAAAAAATAAGAATTATTACCGTTTTTAATGGTGATTAATGTATTTCCAAAGCAAAATCAAACTTTACTCACTAGTGCTTCTAATTCAAATTCCAAAGTCTTTTTCTTTGCTTTCAGGACAACTATGTCCTCTTGTTCTCTGTTCCTTTGATTGAGTAGCTCTTGCCGTCGATTGCGCTCCCACTCAAGTTGTCGCTGCCTTTCAAGTTCACGTTTTGCAGCCTGTGACATATAAAAACAGCTGCTTTATTGATTTCCTAAGTCCTTAAACTAATCAACATCTCTTAATAAAAGTCTTTTCTTTCAGGGGTGAAATACTTTTAAACATTACAAGAAACCATTATAGTACAGCAAAAATAGTTTTATGAATATCCAGTATTCCTTCTAGAGAGAAAAAAGGAATATGGAGAATTGACTATTATGTTCACATATGAAAAAACTGACAGATCATTTCACCACTGGAATAGAATTCTTTATGCCTTCACGAACACTTGATGCGCTAAATAAAACTGCTCTTATTTACCGACTCACAAAGAACAGGGAAAATTTACTTATTCTAGCAAAAACAACCCCAAACCTGCAGAACAAAAAATAAACAACTGTTTTCTCCCATGAGAAGAGAAGTACTTATCCCAAGTTTTAAACATCTGTGACCCGGCCTCCCTAATCATTCATTTCCTTTTTAGTACAAAAGGTCCTGTAATTTCTGAGGAGATGTCAGCCCTCTTCCACACCGCCTCTGACGACTGCTAGGTAAGCCCACGATCAGAGCGCTGGGAACTCATTATTGTAATCACCTCTTACGTACTTGTCTTCCAACCACACTGTAAGGCCCTGGAGGACAGCTAGAGTGTTCGCTCACCATTACCTACATCCCCACAGACTAACGATGCCCTGCACATGTCAAATGCCTACCAAATAATTCTGAGCAAATACTCTAAAATGTCATTATTTCATATAGAAGAAAGGAAGATTGTTCTGGAAAATTAAGACTTTGTTAGTATCTGTGTGTATCAGTCTGAATAAAAGCAGCTTCTGGCTAAAAATTTTCTGAAGCAATCATCCCAAGACGAAACCAATGTATTATTGCTTTTCCATTTGGAAAAATTCCCCATCTTTAAAATCTGTTTCATTCACACAAGAGAGAATCATTGCATGTGCTTCTGTTGAAGTAATATACTAACACTGGAAAGACAGATGAGACTAGCTTAGTCCCTACCCAGGTACGGCACCAAATTTATGAAGTGTTCCATAAAACGTAATGAATATTTCTAAGACATATGCTCAATGTTAAAAAAAATAAGTTGCAGAATAATACAGTTGGTATACCAGTTATGGTTAAAAAAAAAATAAAATCACATCAACAATCCTTCCCCTTCTCCACCAAACAAACCTTTATATTTCTATAAATGTGTATAAATGCAGAGAAAAAGATTCAGAAAAGTATCAATGGTTTTATTTTCAATTTTTTACAAGGCTGTATTACCAAAACCTTGTATGTGGATATTCATAGCAGCATTATTCATAAAAGCCAAAAAGTGAAAACAACCCAAATGTCCATCAACTGATGAGTAAGTAAACAAAATGTGGTATATTCATAAAATGGAATATCATTCAGCGATAAAAAGGAATAAAGTACCGATTCATGAATCTTAAAAACATGCTAAGTAAAAGAAGCCATATATAAAAGGCCCCATATTTTCTGATTCCATTTACATGAAGTACCCAGACTAGGCAAATCCATAGAGGCAGAAAGTAGATTAGTGGTTGCCTAGAGCTGGTTGGTGGGGCAGGGAAGGGCATGAGGAGTGACTGCTAACGACTGAAGAGTTTCCCTTTGAAAATGTTCTGAATTAGTGGCGGTGGTAGTTGCACAGCTTTGTGACTATAATGAAACCACTGAATTATAAAAATAAGAAAGTAAAGGAAGGAAGGAGGGAGGAAAAAGAAAAAGAAAAACACTCTATTCATGTATTATTTGTATAGTTCTTTAGAGAGAGAGTGCACCCAAGAGCACGTGCACTAATCACGGTGGTTCCACAGCTGCTGACCTCCCGTCTCTCGATTTCTTTCCTCCTCTCCTCCTCTCTCTGACGTTCCAGCTCCCGCTGCTTTTCCAGCTGCTTCTCCAACTCCAGCTGTCTTTTGCGTTCCTGTTCCTGGCGCTCCCGCTCTTTCCTTTCCTGCTCTGCCCGTTCTAGCTGTGCCAAGCGCTCTTGCTCTTTGCGCTGCTGTTCCAAGAGGGCTTGCCTTCGCTTCTCCAGTTCCAGATTGCCACGTTCAAAATTCTCACGCTTCTTATCTTCAAATGTTACTATAAAACGAGAAACAGATTGGTTATGAAAAGTCATGATTTTCAACGTGCTGTTTTCAGAAGTAAAACTCGCTGGTGTATTTGTAGTACAAACTCAGCTCTAGAGCCCCCTAAGCCTCCTCTCCGTTCCTTCTGCATGTGCCCTTGTTACCTTTCACAAGCACTATGAATGAAGCCCCTCACCTAACCTCCTGCTGACACACTCACCCTCCACACCAAACACCATTTCTAGAACAATCTTTCTAAAGCACCTCTGTATCATCAGCCAATCTCCTTTCCTTCCCTGTTACTCTGCATTTGCCCATGACCTTGGTTCAGTAATTGACCCCCACCTATTTTGCATCTTGAATTTCTCCCTTTTTTACCCCCCCCCCCCCACACAACTGGCGTGCCTTCTAGTCTAACAAAGACGACAATTTCTGGAAGGAGGGCAGGAATGTGAGGGGTCTGTGTTTCACACCGAAGAACAAGCGGGGCCTAATCATTCTGTAGATCACGGTCGGGAGATATTTTTTTCTAATCCGTATTCAGTTTCCTTCTCCGAGGATGTCAATTATGAATTTTAGACCTATCTTCCAGATCAAAGCTTTGTCTCTCTAATCCTTATTAACCCTTTGTTTATGTCCGTGTTGTTCTGTTCATTTTTCTTAATCCCATGCTCTACGGCCTATACTGTGTCCCAGCAGCATCTGTTCATGGTTCTCCCAGGTCCCAGCTGCAGACGAGGGGAGCGCTCACCGCCAGCCTGTGCACACTGCTCCCCTTATTCCGAATTCATTTCAAGCGCTGTCACTTCACACTTTGTCTTAAGACCTGAGACTGTGCGCATCCTTGGCGTCTCCCCACATCTGTGTTTGGTCTTCACTGATGTACACAGCCCCACCTCACGTAACTGTAGTTAGGGATTAGGATCAAAATGGCAAGTATGTTTTGTTTCTCTTGTTCTTCTTGCACCTTTGGTGTTTTCAGGAGGCAGCATTCTCTTTACTCTGCCTCTTGATTTTTTTTTTTTTAAATGTAGTGTCAGATACTAGAATTAAAAGATGCATAAGTCCCTAAGCATCTATTAAGTCTAGTATCTGACACTACATTTTAAAAAAAGCTGCTGTTGAGTCGATTTTGACTCATGGCGACTTAATGTGATTCAGAGTAGAACTGCCCCATAGGGTTTTCATAGCTGTGATCTTTTCAAAAGCAGACTGCCAGGCCTTTCTTCCTAGGTACCTCTGGGTGGGTTCAAACACCAAGCGCTTGGTTAGTGTTGAACACTCAACCGTTTCTACTACCAGAGATTCCTATTTCTGGTACACAGGGGCACTTTATGAATGCATGAACAAACGTATCTGATAATGTCACCTCCTCTTCAAAAACCTCAGGTGAATATCTACTACCAACAGAAAAAGAAAATTCCTGTACTTACTTGCCTTTGAGACTTCTCATGGCTATCAGTCCCTGAAACGGTCCTCACTTCCACTTCCACTCTTCGTCCTTTAAGTCTCCCATCCAGTGTGACCTCTACAACCGAGATTCATCCCTCTTGCTTTCCCAGTCTATGACAACTGTGAGTGATGTCTGCTGTGCGTCTCCAATACTGCCTTCGTGAACGCATTGCACTTACACACGCTTTTGATGATTGTTTATATCACTGTATCACGGAGGATGTCTTAAATCCTTTATTACGCTAAAAGCTTCCAGAGGGTACAAGCCATGCATGATTAGCCTTTATATCCTTCACTGCACTTAACGCATAGCCTTGTACACAGATCATGTTCAGTAAGTATTTCATCAGTGACTACAAAGTAATTTAAAGAGTAACCTGGGAAAGCTAGTATCCTGAGAAGGTCAATTAACCACCGAGCACTTTAAATGCAGCAAAATGACACTGGCAAAGTATTTAACATAGAGACCCCAAAATAAATTTCGCTTGCTTCTTAGTATCACTTATCATCTTCTCATTAATAGTTCATCTCAGATGTCTTAGGGGAGGCCTGCTGGCACAGTGGTTAAGCACTTGGCTGTGAACTGAAAGGTCTGCGGTTCTAACTCACCAGCCGCTCTGCAGGAGAAAGATGTGGCAGTCTACTCCCATAAAGATTACAGCCTAGGAAACCCTATGGGGCAGTTCTACTCTGTCCTGCACCATTGCTATAAGTCAGAATCAACTCGACGGCCGTGGACTTGGTTTTCGTTTTTTAGATGTCTTAAGGTATTTTAATAGAATGATGAACTTACCTATTATAAATAAGGATTACTTAACATAGGCTCCTGCTATTAAAAGGTTTTCAATTTTCCTATAATAACATGAGAAAAATAATAGTAGGTGAGTTCATATTCTATTTCTGCACTGGCGGTAGTAAGCAACCACCCTACCGTTTTGCAATTTTTTTGTGTTCTTTACATAACGTTTACAAAATATTTGTTTAGCAGCATACAATCAGATTTCAAGTGAAAATTAGAGCCGAGACGCATTAGCAGAGTTCCTATTCTCTATACATATCCATCTCTCAAAGCACATGAACAGCAGCCCCTTCCGGGCGAACCTCAGTTAAAAGAAAAGAGCAAAAATGCCAAAAGCTAAATTTATTTTGACCTCCATCTTTCCCTTTGAGACAGAACATCTCTAACGGGACACAAGTGAAACATGAAGCCCAGCTTACCCGGTAATTTCTTTTCAAGCTGTTGCTGCTCGTCTTCTAACACGGGCTCCTCTGGGAACCGCTGGTCTACAGAGGACGAGCTGACAGCAGATATGCCGCTGCCTGAACGAGCCCTCCTGCAAGCGTGGAAGAAAGAGAAAAAAGAGAGTGACTCCCATACAGCTGTCACAGGAGAACTGAGCAAGCTGTGAAGAGAATTTTAAAAGGTTACAGCCTATCATAGAGCAAACGTCAGCTATCATGAAGAAAAGATAAAGATTTGGTCCTCTCTGTCTAAAAAGAAGCCTACAGGAACGAACATATAAATGTCATCAGATCTTGAAATCTAAGCTTGCTCAGAATGTTTAAAACTACCACCAAAATTACCACAATTCCAAGGATTGAATTACTTGATAACTGAAAGACAGTTAGAACAGTACCTGGCATACAGTAAAGACTCTGTACATGTCAGCTCACGGCACCATCACCCTCTAAGGCTCACTGTGTAACTATAAGAATGTTAGAACAG